TTGTTATTATTATTATTATTATAGTACTGGAGATTCAACTCAAGGACACTCTATCCCAGCTATATCTCCAGCCCTTTTTATTTTATTTTATTTTGAGATGGTCTCACTAAGTTGCCCAGGCCATACTTGAACTTTCAATCCTCCTGTCTCAGACTCCTTAGTAAGTGGGATTACAGGGCTGTGCCACCACAAACAGCTCTTCTTTATTTTTTATTTGTTTGTGTATGTATCTCTATCTTCTTTATAACCAATATCTTATTTTTTAATTTAATTTTTAAAAATTTTTTTGGTGGAATCAGGGATTGAACTCAGGCCCTTGCACTTGCCAGGCAAGTGCTTATTCTACTGAGCCATCTTCCCAGCCCCAACCAATATTTTAGAAGGTGGCCAAGCTTTTTCCTTATTGACACAATGACTTACACTAAAAATGGTGATAATTTGAACACTAACAAGAATGGCTTGGGATATTCCATGCTCTGTACAAACCCCTTATAACAACCAAATGGGTCTGGTATTTCCTTTCCTATCGAGCAACTGAGACTAAACCAGTAAAGCCAGCATTTGACAGCATGGGACTAAAGAGGGGCATTTAACCACTGTGCTGTAATAGTGGTTTTCTAAGTTTTTGATCTTAGGATCACTTTATACTCTCAAAAATTATGGAAGACCCCCCCCAAAAAAAAGTTTAGGTGGGCTAATGTATTGATAGTGACTATTAAAAACTAAAACTGAGAATTACAAAATATTCACTGTATTTAAACATTAATTCATATGAACATTAATACATTTTCTGTGAGATGGGATCTTGCCTTGTTGGTCAGACTGCTCTCAAACTCCTGGACTCAAGCAATCCTCACAGCTCAGCTTCCTCAGGACTGAGACTAACGGTACAGGGCACCACACTGGGCTTCAATTATATTTTTGGGGGGCCAGGGCATAAGCACCTGCCTGGCAAGTTCAAGGTTCTGAGTTCGACCCTGATGCCACAAAAAAAGCCCCTTCTTTTTCTTACCAGTACACGACTTCACACATTCTAGGCAAGCAGTCTACCACTGAATATATCTCTAGTCTCCTTTGGAAAAAATTTTTTGATCCTAAAGATATATATAGCTCATTGCGTACCTAGCATGCATGAAGCCTGGGCTTGATCTTTAGCACCACACAAAAAAAAGGTAAGTAAAAAAGAGACCAGGTTTTTAAGACAGGATTTGTCTAAATTTCTTAGGCTGGCCT